GGCGTCTGCAAATGACCGCGAGTTGTTGATGGGTTGGTCGTCTCCAAAGGACAAGCGGTCGCTCATGGAGCGCGTCTTGCGTCGTGGCCGCTTCGTGGCTTTACGGTCGTGTACGCGCACAACGACAATGTCGAATCTAGTACCGCCACTTAGCAACGTTTCCACTCCTTTAAGGCCGCCGTTCCCATCGTCCTCGGACTGGAACGGTACCCACACGGGGTTCAGTGTGTTGCGCGCTACCTCGCTCTCGTACACGATACGACCGTCCACCACTGCATTAAGAACAAGAGGAGGTTTTAAACATCAGGGCACGGTACTCCATGATTCTAGTACACGTCGTACCTAGTTTAAAGTATACGTTGAGCAGCGAGTCGCCGCTAGTGCCGTAGACTGACAGATTGCGCATACTGAAGCCGCTGAGCTGCTGCAGCGTTACAGTAGCCGAGCGACCGACAGGTTGCTGCGTATTCCACGATGGAGCGGCGCTACAGGCGGTCATATTGATGGCTCCGCCGAAGCTACCGGCAATGCTGGACGGTGTGATCATGAGGGGGCGGACTGGCGTCGGTGTTAGCGCTCCTTGGACGCGCGTCCTTTCCGTCTAAAGTGCTGATGGAAGCTCTCGGGTGCACCAGCGTCCAGTTGTCGCTGACTCGGTGACGTAGGCGAAGAACAGAGCGCAACTTGGTCACGGTCGCGCGTCGTTAGCGGCACTCTTTGAGGGAAGAAAGCGGGATTTTTAACTCGCTAGAAAGATGACACCGAATGTACATTCTGAGGCACAATTCGCTCAAGAAAGAGAAGGACTTTCGGCTATCGCCACCGGAAGCATTCGAAAAATAGTTTTAACGGATTTCGATTGGATGATATAATGGTTGAATTTTTGCCAATAGTGGGCAAGACAGCTTCAACTTGTGTTCTTGCCTGGGAAGCTCCCCATGACAACGAGTAACATGCGCTTTTGCATGCCGTTGCGGGGCAAAGCAAGGCTACGGGCCAGTAGGCTATAGGTCATGATGATATCGTTGCAACCCACCCGCTGAACAAATCCGCTAAAGTACTCGGTGAGCATCCATGACGACAGTGTACATCGTGGGTTGGTCCATTTCGCAGCCACACGAGGCAGCATCCGACCGCTACATACTTGGATATCGTAGTGCCTGTGCAAAATGCACGGCATCTATGCTGGCGTCGTTCGTCACGAGGTCATCACGCCGCGAGCACCGAAGCAAAATAGCCAAGCACGAGTTTACTGCTCCCTAGAGCAAGTAGCTGAACTCTTGGACGTGCTTCACGTTATTAGCGGGAGTTTCGGCCAATGACTCTGTGACTGGTCCGTAAAAAAACGTCCAATGCAACTTCAACGTCCTTGGTCAAGCCCCAAAGGCTCAGCTATCCGCTGTGGTAATTTTAGCGCGTTCTAGAAACTGCAGCGCAACACTGCGAGAGTTCGTCGTACTGTAGTGGGCGGGCAGCCACTTCCCAACT